AGATGTGGATAAGAGACAGATTTACAATGTGCATACCATGAATTACATTGATTAAAAAAAATCAAGTCAATATTCATCCCATTGTGCACTTAGTTGAAAGATACAATGCTGTCTCTTATACACATCTAGATGTGTATAAGAGACAGATATATAATATGATTCTTGGCATTTAGTTTCAACATGTTTTATTTCCCCTTACAGGTTCCCATCTGGTTATTTTTGTGTATGGAATTCGAATGAATAAATCAAATAAAATCATCAGTACGTTAATTTATAGTTTCACACCTTAACACTAAGAGGTGTTTGGTTTATATCTTATTCGTAAGATATTTCCCTGACCTATGACTGATTTATTGAATATTTGATTGGCAGCTCAATTGGTAGCTGAATTACATCCAATTCCACGTTGTCATTGTCAACAAGAACGTAGGTATTACGGTTGAATGCTCAAGTACATTAAGTTCTTTCTTTAATATTACCCAGAGTTCAGAGAATTACTAAAATAACATAATAAACTTATGAAAACTGCCGGTATGTAAACCAACTTGGATGTAATTAATGCATGTACTTTGTTTCTTGATATAGTTTATTATAGTGTCAGTAAACTCGGATCACATACATAGTTAATCTCCACAACCTCATTTCTTATAGTTAATCTCCACAACCCCATTTCTTTGACCTTAATTCGATAAATAGGAAAACAATTTCTGGTTTGTTGTACAAATTATTTCTCTAAGACACGCTTTTAAATATTCAAAAAATCTCATGACCGTTTCCGAGTTTTTCGTCAAACCTTTAACCTTTAACCTTTTAACCATTTTTTCAGATGTACAACATATCAAAATATTGCTTCGGAGCCTGACTTTAATCTATTTTTTACATTTTTGATATTATTATTAGCCTATACCGGGAATTAAGGGGTTATTTACAATGTGCATACCATGAATTACATTGATTAAAAAAAATCAAGTCAATATTCATCCCATTGTGCACTTAGTTGAAAGATACAATGTGCATTGGACTTCAATGTTGGCAAAATATAACATTCATACACTCATGGGCCCTTAGAAAATGAATGCCGGGTACACCTCTCCCCTAACTGATTTCGGTTCCGGCAAGAATGGAAGTTAGGCCTATAGACAAAAATACGTGATATTAAAGGTTGCTATTAAAATACAAAATTGTATTTATTTATTTATTTATTTTTTTTTTGTAATTTAGAAATTGTTGTTCTGGGTGCAGTATGAGTATAGTTTTATTTCATTTATTTGCGCAAAATGCGCCGGACTTAAAAAATTGCAAAGTCATAGTGTCCTAGAAGTCTTATCCAGGTATGTGGTAAACGGAAGTATAAACTATCGTAAATGGGTACTTAAGTTTCTCAGAATTTGGTAGAAGACCCTCTATAATGTATAAAAATACAACAAGCGATACGGCATCGTCAGTGGCTGCTGAAACTTGATTGTTAAACATGTTGTTTGCTGTCTTCTGGTTCATGCTTATTTTTAACGCGTTTCATATTACTTCTACTTCTCCTATTGGTGGTGATGAGTTGTTACTCCCTAGTAAGTAGGATCTGAAATTATGTTGCATTTTTCAGTTACGTTCAACTGTAACTTCTCTAGAACATACCGGTATTTATTGCAGTAAAATATTGAATTTCAAATCTTCAAGCGAGGCTCCTGGAGGGGAAAAAACGTACGGTTTTGATATGTTGTACTGATATTTGACGAAAAACGGTTGATGAGATACAGATTTTTTAAATATTTAAAAAATGTGGAGGGGGAGGAGCGTAACCACCCTTTTCCACCTTTTCCCCCAGTTTTTAAATAGTCAAAAATTCTATTCATTATTAACAGTTTTACCCCAGCCTATTTTACAGCTTTTTATATTTGGTTTTAGCACTTTGATGTAATTTTTAGCTTTTAATGATGTCAATTTTAACATTTTTATGATTGTCTAGAGTATGTTTTTTATACTGTATTAGTTATTTCTGTATTAACTTTCTTCAATGTCATTTTCAGTTTTTTTTATTACGATCTTATGGAGAACAGTATTTTATTATTAAATAAGTTTTCGCGAATAAATAAAGCGACTACCTATCTAGTTCCATAGTTTTTCGACAAACACCCTTTTTGTGTCTTAGAAAAGTCGGTTAAAAAGGGAAAAAAACCTTTCACTCCGGAGCCTGGCTATAAAGCTGATTTGATGAACTGTTCATGTATTTTTTTTCTACATACTGTTAAGTTTAAAACAAAAGTTCTAGATTTGATAATGGTGAATGCAGGAGAATAAAGTACAACTACTTGCAGCGTCATTGTGCTGAATTGCGTATGGGCGTAGTCCACCACTACCAGCCACCGTAAAGAGCGATGATTAATTGAGGGGACGTTAACTCGCAAAATAATGTGATATGAGGTAGTTTTTAACTACTTGAGAGCGTGATTTTTTTTTTTTGCTTTTTCAATGGGGAACGACTGCAATGGGGGAGAGGGGCTTACTCTCCACCCCTAGATACGCCACTGCTTGGGTGAGCAGCGGTTAGAATCAGCGCCGATGTTAAGGCTGTAGTTAGCGGCACCTTTTTTAACTCGGCCACTCTACTCTGCTCCCAAACCTTAAGTATAATGTAAGAACTTTATGAATTTAAATTTACCAAGGGTTCGTCCAGCTAACAATATTACCTTATAAAATGTTATAATAACGTTATGGCTTTGTTGTTGAAAACCTTATTTTGTAGAACCATAAATGCGTACCGTACTTCATAGTTATCAACCGTCTCGCACACATGCGTGATCATAAATTTGTCACGCATTTAGCACAGATCTATGCGTAATAACGAATTTATCACGAATTTTGGGAAAATGTATTTTAAAAATAAAAGAAATTGGTTTTATTAAAAATATAAAAACGGTCATGCAGTAACTTGAGTCATTATACAGTATTTTTCGTGAATACTTAATTCTTCACTGACGCGTACTAAGAATTGATCAGTATGCCTATTCATTTTGTTTGTTTAAGTAATAATAATCTTTATTTGAAACTTCACTTTTAAAACAGTGGCACACAACATGTACATAGTTCGGGTGCTCAAATTAAACATAATGTACATTGAAACTCAAATTGGTCGTGGCTTTATTAAGAATATTTTTGTTTATATACCGTGCCGGTATTTTCAACAAACACTCCTTGAAATCGTTTTAAAACAGCTTAAAAATGCTGAGATGGTCGGAGCGTTAGGGCTTCTGGAACCCTACCTGGGCTCCCTCTGGATCCAGTTCAGGGGCGGATTTAGGGGGGGGGGGCCGGCCCGGCCCCGGCCCCCCCTTTTGGGAGGTAAAAAAAAGGAAAAAAGAAGAAAAAAAAAAGAAAGAAAAGAGAGAAAAAGAAAAAAATGATAGCCCAGAACGCCTCAAATGTTATGTTCGGGCATCTAGGACACAAAAATTTCGCGGGGGCATGCCCTGGACCCCCTACGACAGTGTTGTCTCAATCGGCCCAACTTTCGGCCCCCTTCCGGCCCCCCCTTTTGGACATTTCTGGATCCGCCCCTGAGTTCCCCCAGCCAACTGGTGTAGTCACGCATTTCAAGTCCTCAAGTTGGTAACTATGGTTGTAATTTCACAACTAATAATGTTTGAACGTTCCTGAAACGTTGTGTGAACGTTATTTTGTGACATACCGGTAGGCCCTAGGCCTACCTAATGACCACAGCATTCGCGAACGTTATAAGAACGTTTTGTGTCTGCTGGGCTTGGAGGCATCTACGCTGCCTTTAATAGTTACCGTATTCGCGCGATTAAGCGCTCCATTTGAATAAACGCCCATCTCGAATACCTCAATAATCCAATCAATCTTGGGACTGTGGATGTTGGCATGATTTGAGGTGTGGAGAGGAATCACATTCTCCTTTAGTCAATATCAAAATGAGGATATTTATCTTGGACAGATGAGAGCTCCCTGGACAGACAGTGTATTTCCAACTTTCATCTTCTTACTGTCTATAGCCTAGTCCTACTCCTTTTCCGACAATTTGCACCTTTAACACATTCTCATTTGAGTTTTCAAGAAAAACTGCAATGATCATGCCGTCCTGCTAATCGTTTTTCATTCAAAATGTGCTTCTTGAATTTAATAAGTTCTCATAAGAACCCCTCGATTTTCATCTATTTCCATAAGCGCCCCCTCAATTTCCACTCTGTTTTCATAAGCGCCCCGTTCGAATAAGCGCCCCTCAAAAAGTGCAAAAAATATTTAAAGCGCCCGGGCGCCTATTCGCGCGAGTACGGTATATGTTAATACTCGGTATGCATAGGCCTATGCTTATGGTTATGTTATGTTTAGTGGCGGATGCAGGGAGCATGGGGAAGGATAGAGAAGAAAGGAAAGAGAGAGTAAACAAAGAAAATGGCATTGAAAATGCTGCATGGTACCTCTATAAAAGTTGTAATTTGTGTATAATACTATATGCCTATACCACCCACCTCCGGATTTGGTGCTTCGTTCGAATCATGATGGCTCCTACCCAGTTTTCTCTGGATCCGTCCCTGATGTTGTAACCGTATTATGTCGTACCGTATTTATTTTATTGTATATTTGCAGTGAAAGATTAAGCAATTCCAACGAAATCAGGCCCATTGATTGATTTTTATTTCATTATGGAAGGACCAGACCAAATCAACAATATTGTATAGCTATGGTAGCTTCAACTCTGAGAATTTGAAAACATTGTAAAATGTTATGTTTATGTGTATAATGTCTGCTTCTTATTTTCTTCCAAATGTTTAGGTTACGTTAGTAAATGTGAGGAAGGATGGACATTATTTCAAGGAAGCTGTTATAAACAATATTCTACCCGCAAGTTAACGTGGCAATCAGCCAGAAGTTCTTGTCAATCTAATCAGGCAGATTTGGTCGTGGTGAAAAATGATGCAGAGAACAACTTTCTTTTCACGACTTTTAAAACAAGGGTGTGGATTGGCTTGACAGATTTGGAATTGGAGGGTACATTTAAATGGATAACGACGGGCACAGAGCCTTCCTACACAAGTAAGTACTATGGGACGTCTTTGCAGTAAAAGGTCAGAATGGACCGTCCAAGACTACAGTGTTACAACATACGCAGAAACGTGCGTTTGTAGGACCATTGGACAATACGTGCGCGTATTCCTGGCCTGTTCTGATTGGTCATTTGTTAAGTTTGATTGACACTCTAGAAAGGACGTCCATTGGGTGGATTTTTTCGTCATACAAAATCCTGATAAAAATATGGATAAAATATGAACAAATACCGAGTGAGAAAAAACACATTTACAGTGGAGACGGTGTTGGTTAACCTAATATGAAAAGATAATAAAAATGATAACTAGTGTACACTCCGAGAGTGTATACCTCCACCTACATCATAATTCTCTCTTGTATAAAATTCCCACGCATCTTTTCCTTTTGAAAAAATAATGTTAATGAAAACAGAATCTCAGCCTTTTCAAATTCCAATGGTGATGGTGATGATGATGATGATGATGATGATAATAATAATAAAACATAATGACATTCCATTATACTTATATATAGATTTTATTACGGGTGAGCCAAACAATCAAGGTAATGAAGACTGTGTTGAAATTAACTCTGTCCATAAAGGAGAATGGAATGATTTACCATGTAGTAGATATTTGAACTACGTGTGTGAAAAGGGTAAGAAACTACAATTTAAAATGATTTCCACTGTTATGTAGAGGCTTGTTATTCTAATTCTAATTTCAGTACGGTACAATTTATTGATTAAAATTCAATTTTATATATATATATATAT